CCACCCCTCATTCATATGCTTTCCCCAACACACCAAAAATAGTGCCTATTTGACTCCCATTTCATTTGATTATTGATTTTTTCATATCTTAAATGCTGATTCAATTTAGTGTCAATAGAGGAGTAAAATAGAGTCACAGAGAAGGAGTTATTCTAAACCTTTATCAAAAGGCAAATGTAGAAAGGCACAGAGGATGGATTTAGTGACTGAGGGCCCACTGAGATTTACCTAATAGATCTGCTGACTATGCCGTATAGTGGAGGAGACAGGCTGCAATCTCAAGACAATGCAGGTAACTCAATCTGAAATCCATCCAAAAGAGGACAACTTGCTCAGGTACAAGGACCCTGAAAAGTAACTCATCAAATGACAATAGGAACTGTGTGGACACTCCCTCTGTAACATGGACTAGGATATCGCTCTCCTATATTAGAGGCGCTCCAGGCAGTGTACCATGCGCAAAGACTTATTGACAGTGGCTGACAACCTGCTGTCCATAAAGCATGGCAGAGTGGGTAATTAACTGGAAAGAGCTGGCAGTAGACCTTTAATAACAATTACACTTTCTACATTTTACCACTCCCCGTTCCTAGTGACAACTTGCTCATCTCAGCGAATTCTCTCGTGTACTGTTTCTGGAACATATATTCCTAAATTCCTGTCTCCTTTATAAGACGCTGTATCTTGAGCAAAAGGCATATGTATTGTGCTTGTATTGTGTATCTAATGTGTACATATATGCATATTCTCACAAATATGGTATACACTTATATTATGCATGTGTATGGACATATATCCACATATTGTAAAATGAAATCGCATTTTTTTTTTTATATGGAGTCACACTCTGTTGCCTAGGTTGGAGTGCAGTGGTACAAGCTTGGTTCACTGCAACCTCTGGTTCTTGGGCTCAAGCGATTCTCCTGCCTCAGCCTGCCAAGTAGCTGGGATTACAGGTGCCCACCACCATGCCCAGCTAATTTTTGTATTTTTAGTAGAGATGGGGTTTCACCATGTTGGCCAGGCTGGTCTCAAACTCCTGACCTCAAGTGATCTGCCCACTTTGGCCTCCCACAGTGATGGGATTACAGGCTTGAGCCATGATGCCCAGCCTGAGTTACAATTTTTTAAAATGAATTGTTGGAGATCGAGCTAAACGCTATAAAATGGCAGGGCTCTAATCAGCTCAGATTGTTTACAGTAGAAATGTACCCGAAGTCTTTGGAGTTAAATGATGAACTGTCACTTTATTTATTTATTTTTGATATGGAGTCTCACTCTGTTGCCCAGGCTGGAGTGTCATGGAGTGATCTTTGCTTATTGCAACCTCTGCCTCAGCCTCCTGAGTGGCCAGGATTACAGGCACCCACCACCACATCCTGCTATTTTTGGTATTTTTAGTAGAGACGAGGTTTCACCATGTTGGTCACGCTAGTCTCAAACTCCTGAACTCAGGTGATCCACCTGCCTTGGCCTCCCAAAGTGCTGGGATTACAGGCTTGAACCACCGCACCCAGCCTAAACTACCAGTTTACATCAGTTATAATTTTTTTTGGTTTTTTGAGACAGGGTCTCACTTTGTTGCCCAGGCTGGAGTGCAGTGGCACAACCATGGCTCACTGCAGCTTCAACCACCCGGGTTCAAGTAATCTTTCCATCTCAGCCTCCCAGATAACTATGACTTCATGTACATGCCACCATGTCCAGTTAATTTTTCAAAATTTTTGTAGGGATGGGGTTTTGTCACGTTGCCCAGGCTGGTTTCGAACTTCTGAGCCCAAGTGATCTACCTGCCTCAGCTTCTCAAAATGCTGGGATTACAGGCATGAGCCATCATGCCCGGCCTCAGTCATAACGTTTTTTTTTTTTTGAGATGGAGTTTCCCTCTTGTTGCCCAGGCTGGAGTACAATGGTGTGATCTTGGCTCACTGCAACCTCCGCCTTCCAGGTTCAAGCAATTCTCCTGCCTCAGTCTCCCAAGTAGTTGGGATTACAGGCATATGCCACCACGCCTGGCTAATTTTTTGTATTTAGTAGAGACAGGGTTTGTTTCACCATATTGGTCAGGCTGGTCTCGAACTCCTGACCTCAGGTGATCCACCTGCCTCGGCATCTCAAGGTGCTGGGATTACAGGCATGAGCCACTGTGCCTGGCAGTTATAACTCTTAAAGCAACACGAGGCTCTTGGTAGCCTGATTACAACCAGAAATAATTATCACTATTTTCCACAGTACACTCCCACGAAGTTTTTAGTCCTGCCATAATGTTGGTAGTAAAAAGAATCAACATTTTCAACTTGTTTTTTGGGGTTTTGTTTTGTTTAGGCAAGGTCTCAATCTGTCACCCAGGCTGGAGTGCAGTTGTGCAATCACAGCTCACTGCAGCTTCAATTTCCTGGGCTCAAGTGATCCTCCCATCTTAGCCTCCTGATAGCTGAGACTGCAGGCGTGCAATTAAAAAAAAATTTTTTTTTGTAGAGACTGGACCTCACTATGTTGCCTAGGCTGGTCTCAAACTCCTGAGCTCAAGAGATCCTCCCGCTGCAGCCTCACAGAGTGTTGGGATCACAGGCGTAAGCCACTTCACCTGGCCTTGATTCTTTTTAAGTTCAATAAAAATGGAACTTTGTCTTCCTGTCATGGCCAGAGTGAAAATACAGTCAAATAATAAAGACCTCATAGAGTTAAAGCTCACAAAACTGATACTTAAAAATAATTTATTAAACAAGTATTGCAGGCACTACAACTGGTCTCAAGATACAGTGGTGAGCAAGAAAAACAGGATCTCTTGCTTTCATGAAGTTCAATTAGGAAGTCCTATTGAATGATGAGACATCTTTCTTTGGGGCAGCAAGTTACTTTCACTTAGTGGTAAAAGGGCCAAGAATAGTTCAGGAACTTCTCATCCACCTGTCTACCATTCTACACAGCAGCACAGATCTGGCTTTTTAAATGGCCCTAGGCCAGGCACGGTGGCTCACGCCTGTAATCCCAGTACTTTGGGAGGCGGAGGTAGGGGGGTCACATGAGGTCAGGAGTTCAAGACCAGCCTGGCCAACATGGTGGAACCCCATCTGTACTAAAAATACAAAAATTAGCCAGGCATGGTGGTGCCAAGTCCCAGCCACTTGGGAGGCTGAGGCAGGAGAATCGATTGAATCTGGGAGGCAGAGGTGGCAGTGAGCCAAGATTACGCCATACTGCACTCCAGCCTGGGCGAGAGTGAGATTGTCTCAAAAACAACAAAAGGCCCTATACAGCACCCATCCATGGAATTCTTTCAAATTCCCTATAGCTTGTGCTGTCACTTAGTTGTTATCTAGTACCTGGCAAGATGATATTAGGGGAACTCATGTTTAAGGAGTTCATGGAGACCTCCTTTTGTAAATACTGGCTTGATTCCTTAAGGTTGAAAATTTGGTCATTATTCTGTTTAATCTATTACTGATAAAAGTTATCACATAACCCAGTGTCTGCAAATGAACTATAAAAAACACCTTAGAAATACAAATGTATAATATAAATGTATACAAATATGGTATATGTTTACAAATATGGTATACATTTATATTATGCATGTGTATGGACATATATCTGCATATTGTAAAATGAGATAGAATTTTTTAGAAATACAAGGGGATTGCATTGTGACCTCTAGGTCAAAGTTAATTCTAGGTGAGAGGGGGGAGAAACAAATATGCTGGTTGTTTTCACCTAAATTCTGATCCTATGAACTTAAAATTTCTTCTCATGCAATCATTTTGTCAGGGAATTGATTACAATGAACGAAATCCAAAGTGCTCAGGTCACTGCCTCTTCAGTTTAGTGTTTACACTGTGTAGGAGACACCATCCAAGAGGCTGTAAGGGTGACTAAGCAAAGGGAAGACAACTTCTGTTGGGGAGGTGGAAGTAGAGATTCAATGGAAATAAGGGTATGCATCATTTAACAACAAAATCAAGAAAATGCTAAGGATGAAAGAGGGTACTCAACAATCATGCTGAAACAACAGGCATAAACTAGGACCATGCCAGCAAGCTAATAGGTAGATGACTCTACTTTGAATATTAAATCATACCAGGAGCCAACTTTCTTAAGAAAAACCATGGATATCTAGGATTACTTGACTAGTGTAAAATACAGTTGCCTAAAGAACTGTGTCATATCTAAATACTATCACAGGCCCCAGCTATCTCAAACTGATAAGAGTATTCTGCCTTTTAAAAACAATCATTATTGCCCACATTATTAGTAGTATTAATGTTGTTAATAATATTGCACGCCGTGTCGAATAACTGCTTTTTGCTAGGTATGTGCACAGCATCATGGAAGCTGGAGGGAGCTTTTACCCAGCCTCATGAGGAATGAATGAAGGTAGGAATTTGCCAGGATAAAGTGGAAGAACTTCCAGATACACGGACCAAGGTAGAGCAAGGGGCAAGGGCACGGGTGACAACACAGAGCTTTTGAGAATCACAAGCAGTCCACTGGTCTTCCTGCAAGGCAAGATACACCCAAGGACGAGCTCATGCCTAGGGCATGGCCAGCCTTGGAAGGCTTCAACCAGTGAAGCAGGGTAGCTAATATGTTACTTAAATGAATCACTGACAACAGATAGTAGAAATTATAAAGCCAGTTAATCATACATTAAGTATTTTAGGCTATTAGGCCAGGAATGGTCAAAACAATGTTATGGTAAGCCAAAACCAAACTCAGGGGAGCACAGAATGGGGAGGAGTGGGGGTTGTACCCTGCTATAAAACTCTAGGCTAGGAAATGCCAAGATTGTGTGTTATTAAGTCTAGGTGAAAAACTTAATCCCAGTAGTCCCAAATACCCAAGCTAGAGAGGTACAGGAAAGGACTGGTCAGCAACATCACTCCAGTGTTTTAAAAACTCAGAGTATATAAACTTGAGCTTATTTTGCCTGTTTTAGGAAATAAAGGAATATAATGGTACATGGGGATTTGAAAGAACCACGAACACATCAGAGAGATCTTATGTTAGGTTGATTTATAAGTGCTCCTTTGGGCAGTTACACAGTTTGTTTACAATGAGGAGTTATTTGACTTTGAACATACTGTACATGCCAATTAGAAGTTGTCATGACAAGAGAAAACCATAGCTGGCCTGCCACAGCCAACATAAGAACCAGAAAACGGTAGATGAAATGAAGGAATAAAGGTGGGGTTTATTTCTTATTATAAAAGAAAAAAAATAATTCCTCAGCAGTCTTAACAAAGACATCAGGATACAAAATTACAAGTGTTTTGACTCCAGCCCTGTCCCCATCTCCTCCAAGAGCAGAGGTAGGAGACAGCTGAAGCAAACAAGCAATTCTGTAAAAATTACCTAGAAACCCTATAAATTTGATTAAAATCTAAACTTCTATAATTTTGCTTTTTAAAAAATTTAATATCAAAAGGCCTGCTTTAGTGACATGCTGTTCCTACCAGAAAATAACCCCAATACCCCCTCTGTCAGTAACATGCTCAAGTTGACCAGCCAACTCTTATCTCTAAACCCATGTGGACAAGTGTCTGTCTTTTAAACCAAAGCCACAGAGATCAAGTGACTGCTAGAAACGTGTTAACTAATCCAGTGCCCACCTTCTCCAGAGGGTGGGCAGGGCAGAAACCCAGAAGTGGTCATGAGGACCTAACCCCAGAGCACCATCTTTCTAAGCACCACCTCCCTCACTCCCTACTCAAAAGGAGATGCTTGGTTTCTAATCCGGACTATTCGTCACAAATCTGGTGCCCCGTGACCTGGATGGTTTTTTCCTTTAGCAAAACACACATAATCCACAAAACCATACATATAATTTTTTGTCTTTACATTTAAATATAAAAATACTATTCTGCTTTGTGTGATAAATCAAGGACCAAGCAACATGAACCTTTTCTTCTTTCAAGGTAGGGATATCCATCAGTTTATGCTGAGCTTCGTGTTCAGAGCAGGGCATTTAGTCCCAAGCCAGGCTAGTCCCACAAGCAAGAGACCAAAGCCATTCTCTCTGATTCCCAACCCCTACCTTCTCTCCTAATTCCCACTTTTAATAGAAAAGTTGGTTATAACTTCTTAAGAAAAGTTTCCACCACAAGGGCAAGTCCTAACCTAACCAGAGGAAGTCAGGTCTTCCCCTTTCAGCTACCTCGAAGAAAAGTCCCCCTCCTGCAAACGTGTTCTGTCCGGATAGCTATGCCTATTGGACAGGTGCACCCCATTAAATGGAAGCAGTGGTTATGTTTCCCCACCCTCTTCCCCACTAATGCACTAAAAAGCTTCAGTGATAGGGAAAAAAAGGAGGGTAGGTGTGAAGAAATTAATAACTTGACCCATCTCTATCCCAGCCAAACAAAGAAAGCAAGATTAACTGGGCACAAGGAATGAGAAAAACGACCTTAATATTCCACCCTTTGAGTTACAATTGGGACAACTGGGAGAGGGGGAAGAGTTGGAGTGGGATGAAGAACTAGGAGGGGCTTGACAGCTAGAAGTCTAGTCCACTTAGTTTTTGTACTGGAAGGGCTCATCGCCGGTTTCATTGAGAAGACACGTGCGGATGAGGGCTTCTGTCACCGAAAAGGGGTCACAGTTGGCAGAGGGGCGACGGTCTTCAAAGTAACCCTTCTTCTCCTGGCCAACAGTCCGGGGAATGCGTATGCTGGCGCTACGATTGGCTACACCAGCAGAAAAGTCGTTGATGTTGGAGGTTTCATGGAATCCAGTTAGGCGTCGGGCATTGTCCAGGCCTCCCTTGGGATCATAGGCGCGGATGTGGTACTGGTGCCGCTTGCTTAGTTTCTCAATGGCCTCCTCGATGTACCTAGAAGAAACAGAAAAGATGGCAGTCCAACCTTGTCTCCAGGTATGGAGCCAAGAATGAAGTGCACCAAAATATGATACCAGTGGTACAAACACTTCATGAAGGCAGTGGCTTCGTCTTCTTACCTGTGTGTCTCAGTGGTCAGAACAGTGCCCGACAAGCAGTAGAAAGTATTTGTTGAAAAGACCAATCATTTGAAACTTTCTCCCCCTCATAAGCATTAAGCTTATCCACATGCCTGTATTATTAACTAATTTAGTTCTAAAAGATTTTCAAATGCATGAATTTGTCAACTTTTCCCTGTCACGACATATATATGTCACAAATATATATTATATATCAATATGTTTATATAATGATATATGACTAATAATTATTTGTTATAATTTATATAATAATTATCACTGTGAATCAGAAGTATTACTTGGTATTTTTCAAATAGGAACAAAATGAGAATTTGAAGTCAAGTGTCAACAGCTAAGGTATGTCCAGACTGAGAAGTCAAGTTTACTTAACTCTGGTAAATATTTGCAAGTCATCCTGCAAAGGAGACTTTGCTGAGAGATTGATAAGTCTCTTCCCAAGTTTTCTGCCACAGGAGATTAAAGATGGCCCCAGCAGAAGGTACTCACTTCAGACCATTCTCCTCCCGCATGGCCTTGGTGCTGAAGTTGGTATGGCAGCCTGCACCATTCCAGTTCCCAGGAATGGGTTTAGGATCAAAGGTTGCTATCACTCCAAAGTCTTCACACACACGATGCAAGATGAAACGGGCCACCCAGAGATGATCTCCCATGCTGATTCCTTCACAAGGTCCAATTTGAAATTCCCACTAGAAACGAGAAGCTTGGCCATTAAAACAAAGCCAACTGCTCACTCCAACTCAGAAGCTCCTAAACCTGTTCTCTTCTCACCTCTACTCCAACCCATTCTTAGGTTTTGGGTTAGTGAGTGGTGTATCAGCAGCCCTTACTAGCAAAAGTCCTATATGCACCTACCTGCCCTTCATCATTGATGGACTGGAGCTATATTTACCTGGGCAGGCATGACCTCGGCATTAGTTCCCGCAATCTTGACTCCAGCATACAAGCAGGCCCGGTAATGGGCCTCCACGATGTCCCTGCCATAGGCTCTGTCTGCTCCCACACCACAGTAATATGGACCTACAAAAGCATCAAGACAAAACGCTAAGAGTCAAGAAATCCAGAGAATCCCAAAGTCAGAGATCAGAAGGCCCTTAAGCCTTGCCCTCTTGAATCACTATCCTTGCCTTCATCTGTAGGTACAGGGCAGGGGAGGGGCAACAGGGGAGTTCCTCTTCACCTGTGGGGCCAAAGCTTCCCCCTAAAACCTTACTTTATACATTTATATCCATTTTTGGACGTTGGTGATATGAGGGCTGTTTCGCCTTTACTGTATTATTTTGCTTCTTGATTCAGAAAGTCACTCCCATCCCTGGGAAGGGGCATTCTGGAACAGTTAAGACACTTCTGGGAATTTCACCTCTAACTCAAGAAGACTTACCCTGGGGCCCCGGGAAGCCGTTGGAAGGCCAACCAAAGGGGTGCCCATCTGTCCCCATGAGGGTATATTCCTGCTCCATGCCAAACCAGGGGTGCTGGTTGCTCACCATGTCCATTATCCGTTTACAGGTGTGCCTCAAATTGGTCTCTAGAAAAAAGAGTGAACAATACGCCATCAGGGATCTGATGCTGAATACCGATGCTGATGGGAGAACAGTCTTTGGATTCTATACAACTGAGGTGTGCACTATGGGCTGAAATGACCCAGTATAGGCCTTCTTGGGATCACTGAGTCACTGAGTCAGAAAAATGAGAGAAGCTATAACTGTACATCTGTAGGAAGACTCTGCAAGACTTCAGTTTTAACTAAACTCAGTTACAACCAAGTCACATGAGAATGGATTTAGAACAGGGCAACTTTCACCTTATCTGCATTCTGGCCACCTCCCAAGCACCAAATGCCAGGCACTTAACCCTCTATTCACAAGACAGCTGCTTCTGGTTGTTAGATTTATTCTTCATTTCTCAGGCACTTGGAGCCATTCTATAGTTTTTGAGAATCATTTGTCCATTGGTTTACATTTGTCCTGGCCTACATTCCAGGCAGGAGGGCTGTTACTGGGGACTCCAAGACCGGCAAACAGATCTGGACAAATCAAATGCTATTTTATGCTACCAACAGACAAGACCATAGAAAGATGGGCCATATTATCTCTTCCTCAAAGGAGAAGTTCAGGGAAGAGGCTCAATCACTCAGATTCTTAAAACAGTCATGAAATAGCCTAGTCTTCCCAATACTGATTGCAGAATGTCTCCTCCCTCACCTTCACAGCATTTACAGATTGAGGAGAGGAATCTATAGCTGTGCTATACATACCTGCAGGCCTTCGATTGTACTTGAAAACTTCACACAACACCAGCTTGTTCGGGTCCTTACGGAAGGGGTCCCGAAACATGGCAGCAGGCACGAGATACATGTCACTGTTGGAACCTTCAGACTGTAAAGTACTAGAGCCATCGAAATTCCACTCAGGCAACTCTGGGGCAAAAAGAGGGAAAATTACATTTAAAACGTACAGGAGCTTTCCAAGCAATGCAAATACAGCCAGCCCTTCACTCACCTTCCCATCTCTAAAGATCTCTTTTCCAGGAAGTTATTAAGGCATAAATGCCATCATTAATATGTATACCCTGGCACCTGTACCTGATCCTACAGCCCTTCCTATCTGAGTTCCAAGTAAGACCACTGTACCACTTCCTTAAATACATCAGACACTCCCTTCCCAAATGTCTTCCAGGAGACAAACTGAAGCATTCTGTTACCATTACCAGCCTATCAGTCACTTAAAATACTGAGATAGTGAAGGATTCTGATTCTTCCATTAGGCAATGTGTCGCTTCCTTCTTCTCATGCCCCCAGTGTATTCTGGCAAGTAATGTCCTTATTTTATAGATGAGGGAACAGACAATCCTAGAAAGATGACTTACTCAAGGATGTTCCCTTATTACCTATCCACCTTTCCCACTGTTTTAAAGACTGCTTTGTCTCTCTAGCTGACTGAGTTCTCTGAAGGCAGAGACCAGACTCTCACTTTGTATCTTCAGTGTCTGTGAACTATCTGCCACATAACAAGTACACAATATAGGCTTTGTATTATGATCATTCACTTATTCAAAAAGCTATCCTAAATTAGGTAGGAGGTGATACTTGGCCCCTTTCTGGAAGAGGGAAGACTATGGCTTGTTTTAGACTGAAAAATGAAGGTCACAACTATAATCTAACTGTAGCTCCTAGAGGGATAAGCAATTAAGACAGTTTAAGAATTTCCAAAAGTGCCATCAACTAAAAATCAGTCCTATTTGAAAACCATTTTAGAGCATTTGCTTCACATCTAGAAGCCCAGTGATGTGAGTATTAAGCACAGTTTTCTAAGAGTTTGTAAACTAGATGGCATTCTCAGGTTAGAGCAGTGGTTTTCTGAGGGTGCCTTAGAGTCAGGTAAGTGGGGATGCCCAGGTCAGCAGTCTCTAAGCCCCATGCCAACTCTCCATAAACCAGACGTAGTTTTTCTTCAATACACTGGCCTACATGCACAATTCCATTTAAATAAAGGGTTCCATTGTTGCTCTGCTTTGAGGCAGTGTAGGAGCTTAATGTTGACTGAATGAAGTCTGGAAAGCCCTGCCTTAGAAAAGCTTTACAAACAGAATAAAGAGGCCTAATCCAGAGGCTGAGTCAAAGGCCCACCCCTCTGCAGATCCCACCCAGCGTGTGCTCCACTCCACATTGCTGTCTCACCTTCCACACACTTGGGCTCACTGTCCAGGGTCCGGGTCTTGCAGCGCAGTCCTTCTCCAGTACCATCGATCCAGATATACATGGCCTGGACTTTCTCACCCTGAGGCAGGGACATGTACACCTGCTTGATGCCTTTATTTAAGTGGGAACTTGCTGAGGTGGTCATGGTGGAAGGTGTTCTGGAGAGAGAGAAAAAATAACATTGTTAACGCCCACTCCAAACTGATCTCCTGCAAAAATGGCTTCAGAGGGACAACTGAATCAAAAGTTGTGAATCAAGGTGTAAGTGCCAACTCCTTCCCCTGTGGAAGTCAACACACAGAAAGTTATGTTTACTCACTCTTTCAGGGGGATTAGTTTTATAGTAGGCGAAAATCTCCTTTATAATAGGCTGTAAAACTGATCACCACCTTTTGAAGCAATTAACACAGATGCCTGCTAAAGAAAAGATCAGGCCCTTGGTAGTAACTCAATGCCTCTTGCATCTCGGAGCTCAAAGGCTTAAGTTCCACAGCTACTGCAGATCCCAGGCTTCCAAGTTGGAACTTACACTTCTGAGGACTGTCTATTCCTTCAGTGTAGCTGAGGTAACACTAAACTATCCAAATACTAATCTATCAGAGGAAACAAACCAAACCAATACACAAATTTACAAAACATAGAACTTCTTCCAATACAAGTAAAATCCAGCCACAGAACAGGCTTGGCTTCCAAGGTTTCTGTTTTTCTCTTTGCCTTTCATCCTAGCTGTGGTCTTAACTGAAACCCACAGCCACTCCCCACCAAAAGAAAACCCACTACACATTTAGATTTGAGGATGAAACAAGGTTACAATATATATATTTTTTTAAAGGCTAGCAGTTTCCTACAACAAAAGCTGATTCAAACCAGATTCTAAGGGGCATGCTGCCATACTTTCCATAGGTCTCACGCAAAGTTTCACTTAAGATAGTGAGCAAGAATCACAACATTATGGAATTCCACAAGAAGACTTCAAGTAATTAGGAAATTTCCACTTCGAAATCAAAAAGATCTGGAATTTTAAAAGCCATGAGGCATACTAATAACTGCCAACCACTACCACAAAACCTCTGAAAGAACAGAAATTCTGAAGCCACAACAGCCGAAGAGGAAACGTTCCTCCCTCCGTGGCCCAGGATGGCTAGAAAGGGAACACATTGTTCTCCTCCAACGACTAGGGCAACGTTCTGAAGTACAGTGGCAAAGTTTCTATGGGCAACCGTCCATGTTTGCCCAGCTGAAAACATAACTGCTTCTCCCTCTGACAGCCTCACCACCCTTCCCCTCGGGGAAGACCAACACCCCAATATTGCCTCTAGAAGATTCAGTCGGCCAAATCCTACTTCCCAACTCCGTCCCAGAACCCTTCAGCTCCCGCTAAAAACTACAACCCACCTAGGCGGGCGGATCACCTGAGGTACGGAGTTCGAGACCAGTCTGGCCAACATGGTGAAACCCAGTCTCTCTTAAAAATACAAAAATTAGCCGGGCCTGGTGGTGCCCGCCTGTAATCCCAGCTACTCGGGAAGCTGACACAGGAGAATCGCCTGAACCCTAGAGGTAGGGGTTGCAGTAAGCCGGGAGCTTGCACCACTGCACTCCAGCCTGGGCGACAGATCGAGACTCTGTCGGTGGGGGAAAAAAAAAGAAAAAAAAAGCTACAACCCAATTTCTCAGCTGTCCTCTCCAACCTGTTACACCACCAATATCATGCACACTTTGTCCTAAGCCTGTTTCGGATCTCCTGCTCTTTTCCGTGAGCCAGTTGGATGCCAGCACTCTATCAACTGCTGCTGCCGTGGCGCCAAGTTTATGTGGGGGGAATGGATTCTGAAGCTTTTAGCCGTTTCTGCAGCTCTCACCAACTCCGGGGTCGTCCTCCCTGCCCCCTCACTCACCCCAGCCACAGAAAGTCAAGCGTATTGTTAGGGTTGCCCTCCTTAGCCCTTCTCTTTTTGGAGTGGCGTTCGCGCCTCTCCTCTTTCTCAGACTCGAGCTGGTCCAAGCACCGGAGCTTTCTGGGCGAGGGCGATGGAGAAGGGGACACACAGCGGTCGGCCCGGGGGGTGTCGAAACAGGCCGGTTGGTGGGTTAAGGTCTTAATCTTGACTCGAGATTTCTCCCCGGAGTTCACGGAGTAGGCGACGAAGCCGAAACAGTTGGAGGGCGACCCGGAGGAGTCTGACTTCTCGTCGTCTTCATAATTTTCATTGGTTGCTTTCTTCGTGAACTTGCGGCTGGGGGAGGATCCCCGCTTCCCGCCCCCGAGGGAGTTGTAATTATCCACTTTGAGAGCAGCCCCTTCCCACTGAAATGTCCCTAAAGCGGGCGCCCCGCCCCTCGGGCCCCCGTCTGAATCTCAGGGCCTCACGGAGGTGGCCATACCCCACCGCCGAGGGGTTGCGGGGTCCCCGGGGAGGGTGGGGGCGCAGGCCGGAGGGACCGCGCGCTACTGCTGCCTCCGCCCGGCCCAGCTTCTCCACCGACTGCGCCGAGGCCCGGGCTCTCCATTGTTCGGTCACACTGGAAGGCCCCCGGGACCCCGAGGCGGGAGCCGGCCGCGCAAACAACGCTCACTGTTACACGCCGCAATCGAGGCGTCTCAACGATCGCCAGAACCACGACGACTGCCCCACCACGAGGAAAGCAGCGAGGCGCCCGCGCCAACCAAGCGCCTTGTTTGCGGTCTGCAGGGGACCGCACCGCCACTCCATCCACAGCGCAAATACCACTGTGAGCCCCAGGGCGCGGGCCAGCCCAAAGGCCTCCAGGGGCGGCGCTTGGGCCGCAAGTAGTGAAAAGAAGATCAAAACAACTCACCCCGCCCTTCCCAGAGCCTGGCCAACGACGCGCCCCACCAGCGCCAGCCCCGGAGGGTCCAAGCCATCGGCGGCGGAAGCACGCGGGAGGAGGACTGGAGCCGGACCTCAGGCCCGGGCCAGAGAGGCCGCCGCGTAGGGCTGGGACTGGAGGGGCAGGCGGCCGAAAAAAGAGGCTGGGTGGCGCGCCTCGCGGGGTAGCAGGGGCGGTGCGTGTCGCTTGGGTGCCACCGGGCCGTCCGGGGGCTTACCTGGGCGCCGAGCAGGCGGGCGGGTAAAGGCAGGCCGCGAGAGCGAGGTTAGGAGGAGAGGAGGCCGTAGTGCTGCTCACACGCTTCGCTCTTCTCCCACTCTCGACTCTGCAAGGCCGGTCGCGGCCCTGCACCCTTTATCCGCGGCCGGGGGCCGCCCCCGGTGTCCTGATTGGCTCCCAGCGGCCGGGAGCCCGGGCCGATCAGCTGATGCATTCCCCGGCCCCGCGGCCATTGGGCGAGGAGCCCGGCGGGCGCCGCTGGGGTGGGGGCAAGCGAGCTGGGAAAGAAAGAAAGAGAAAGGGGCGTGGGGGAGGGGCAGGGCGGCGTGGGGGAGGGGAGCGGAGCCGGGAGGGCGGAGGGCGGAGGGGCGAGCTGCTGCCAGGCCGGGAAGCCTTCGCTCGCCGCCCGCCCGCCCGCTCGCTGGCCCGCCAGGTGCCGCCCGACGGCCCCCAGCCCGGGGCCCCGAGGCTCCCAGCAAAGCGCCCTGGACCTCTGCCCTGCAGTCTTTACGGGCAATAGTTTTACGAGGAGAGCTCCCTGGGGGAAATACGGAACCAGGGAAACCGAATTTAGCCTTTTGTTGCGAGGGAGCCTCCGAGTCCCGCTTCCCGCGGGCAGGGGTTAGCTTGAGAGGGAGCGCGGGCCGCGGGACCCGGGGGAACCTTGGGCGGGCCTGGGCTAGCGTGGGTGCCGCTTGGGCCTGGGGACGGGTCCGGGTTCCCAAAGCCTGGAAGAGCCGCCCGCTCCGGCTCTGTTGGCTCTGGGGAAATAAACAGAACTCTGCCATTTCACATTTGAAATCAACGTGCTGTGTCTCTAATTTCACAGAGGATTCTGGAGAGCGGTAGAAACTAAGTCTGGAGACCAGTGTCATACCGCTGGCCAGACCCTAGGCAGGTCTCTCAGGGCCCAAGTTTCCTCATCTGCAAAATAAAGTGGTCATCGAAAACGATCTGTGGAACCGCCCACTAGATTTGAAATTCTGTGTGCAGACTGCCCCCTGAGCAGCCGAAAGGAAATCGAGGTGTTCACTTGCCCCTTTCGAAGTCCAGGAATTGTCAAGAAATGTCTTAAACGAATTCTCCCTGGTTTTGCCTTATCAAGTGCGGCTTCTTGTTAATCTGGAAAATGGGAATACATACCTCTCCTCTCAGCTTGCCGTGATGGTTGGGAAAATGTGTATGTGAACACAATCTTGAAATGGATGTTTGTCAGCAGATGCACAATAATTATATGTGTACCTAGAGACACAACATAGGTAGATAGGTAGGTAGGTAGATATTGCTATCCGTACTGTTACTCGATCGTTTTGTTTTTAGTGCCTGAAATCTACCTGATGGTGTCCAGCTTTTATTGCTTCTTTCAGTTTAAAGAGCAAGAATTTATGTTTCCACTGCCTTTGGAAGAGGAAGGGAAGAAATTTGTTCTTCTGGTTGTTTTGTACCGCAAATATGGAAAAGAAATGTTGCCTGCGACCACATACACATAACTTGGCTTCTTTGGTCAACACCCTTTCCTTTAAGAGTGTATAACACTGTAGTACTTTTAAATGACAGATGCAGCATTCATCTCAAACAGGGGTTTTTGGGATGTTTCAGACTGGTGACATTTTGGATTGTGTAGGTTGCCTTACAAATTCCTCGTTAAATTTCAGTGCTGCCCCTTGAAGCATTCCATTGTGGTGGCTACAGGCACGGCTGCAGGTCAGGCAAACCTAGGTTCAAATCCGGGCTTTCCCTTCATACCAAATCACTAGCCACATGAAGCCTGTTTTTTTGTCTATAATAAAAGAGGGGTAATAATTGTTACCTTATAAAAGGATTAATTGTGATAGTACATGCAGAAGAGATTGAGTAGTCCCTGGTGCATCCTAAATGTTTAGAAAAGAGCAATTATAATTATCATAGGCCAAGTTCTATAATCTGAGGTGACTGGATTCTTTCTTTCCCTGTAGCGACTTTTGAATACAACTTTTCTGACTCAGTGTAATGCTTTACCATTCATTATATCGAACTGGACTTAACCTTGGTAACACAGTGCGCGGTCTTCATTTCTTTCTGTAAAGGTGTGAGTTTAAATGGTTGAGGAA